TTGTTGTCTCAACACCAGAAGGATCCCCAAATAACAAGTCTGGCAAGACTGATTGTACTCGAACAACTTAACTGCTCAAAAAGCTGTACAGTGGCGACGCGTACGATAGCCAGCCGTGCAGGTGCAAAAGTGGGATGTGCTATGAGTAATCGATCGGCTGTCGCCAATCAAATGAGGCAGGAATATCGGTTACCTACAAGCGTAAACGCGGTGATTTGACATCAAGCGAGCAAAAGGGCAATAGCGCGCAGCGAGCGAAGCTCAGCGCACGAAAGGCAGCATGAGTCAGCGCAGTGGCTCTGGGCGACGGATTCCTACAGTTACAGTTATGTGGGTACAAACACTGTTCACAATACAGGTTTGTCTAAAGTTATATGATTACTACGAGGACAACTCAAGTCTCTCAGCTTCTGAATATACCTTTAGTAAACGTCAGATGTGATGCCAGAAATGGTGATGCGGAATGGTTATATGCTGAAGTATGGCAAGAGATATGTCGGAAGCCACAGCGCATTGAGGCGGAAATACCTAGTTGAAAACCAGAGCCAGATGGATGGATAGCATTATTCAGACGTCGATCGGTAAATTGTTTGACCATCGTTAGTTGTCGTTATGGTATGATATCGACTAAAATTAATTAAGAAACACTGGAATCAGACGACAGCATTCGATGTGTACGTCTTACACTTAGCAAATAGTTACTGTATAATTATTTACCATAATAAGAACATACTTGCTAGATGAAAGCCCAGACGCGCGTGTTCCAACGATCTTGTGCCGCTGCTTGAAGTAGCTGCGACGGGGTTCATTCATTCGCGGGACCTCTAGCGTTCCCCATGCGTTTTCTGGTATATGAATATCAATTTTATTCTGCCCTGTTAAATTTCCGAGAAAATTAATACGCAAACTTGGAGTAGATCCTTCTGTTACACCTAAGTAATTTAACGATTTCAGTTTAAGTATTAATGTCCAATTTCGGACTGAGCCTGAAATTGTCTGTTCGGAAAGATATATTCAAAGTTCGCGCGATAATTTTCTCGGAAATAAGACATTCAAAAGCAGCTATTTTTGAGCAAATAATAATAGGGGAAAAAAGCAGGAATCTTTAGATCGCCAAGTTAAAGACTGGATCGTGTAATAGAAACATAAATGTCCAAGGTCCTTTTACAGTGTCACTCACCTGGTTCACATATGAGACAGACAAACGCGACCACAAAGAAGCGATCGATAAACTAGCGAGGATTCCGCAAACAAAGCAGCCTGTGAGATGGCCATGGAACTCAGAACACCGATCCTGGGCAATGGCATTGTCAGGAAAATTTCGACATTCAAGTGCACTTTGCAGTCTGTAGAATTACACTTACAGCTCTGACACTACAATTATCCCCATCAAATTATTTCGAAATTCCATGCAAAGGTGATGAATTATAAAATTTAACCTGCCTGTTAGGCGCGGCCTGTAATCTTAGGTTGCACGTTTCTAAAGCCGCTTTTCCTTTCCTTTCAGAAAAATCTCCCTGGGTGCCCAGGAGACGATCGACGTTCCAATCTCCTTTGCGCCCACGGAACTGCGCGAGTATGACGTTCTGTGTTGTGTGCAAGTGCGCAAAGTCAATCCTGAGGCAGGTCGAATATGGCCTCATGGAATGACGGAAATTGAATGGGTCACTCCAATAAAGGTTTGTGCATTTAACCAGCATATTCAGCAACATCTCCAGTGCAGCACATATACAGCAAGTCTGGTAGTAAAACGCCGCAGATGACTTTACTCCAGTGGTTCAGCGGTTAGATAGTGGCGTGCATCGACACACTGCTGTCAAGGTCCTGCGAAACTGTGCCGTCTCTTGCTTTGAAGCACAATTTCTGGTGTAGCCAATAGTGTAACTACCTTGTTGTGTCAATAAATCTAACTGTCGAAACTAGCGCAGTTCGCTGTACTGATGAAAAATGCAAGCAAGAAACGGGTTGATCAGATTTTCTGATTAACAATCATCAAAGGAGGATGCTTTGTTTAAGAGAAGTATAATTAACTCACATTGTTGTTTTGGTACTCCTTACCCAGACCGTAAATTCTGACAAATGGCCAGTGTTCAGGAGGGGGTCTCCTTTTAGTTCGAAATGAACGCAAAAGGTTCAGCGCATCTCTCTTATTCTCACTTGACAGGACTTCAAGTCATAGCTCGGAGATGACAGTTTATAAGTTGCAGATGACGACCTCCACGGAAGGCACGCTTTACAGTGAATGCGGCATCAGTGACTTGCACTGCATCTACTTCACCCTCATCCCTCATCCGGCCTGCTTCAGTGGGATAAAAATGCCAAGACAGTGGCTG